AAAGAAATAAAAATGTTCTCGCAGACGAAATAAAAACGGAAGATTCGTCGGGTTAGTTTTAAATTGGTTTATATAGTTCTTGGTACAAAAATCAACCCTTCCTCTTTAAATTTCTATTGTGACACTTTGCTCTTCTAAATTGCTCTAACTATCTGAAAACTCTGGTTCAGTCGCCATCTAGTTGAGTCCGGCCCAAAATTGGCGTAGGTTCAACTATTCTGGGGTTTTCGGTAATCTCCCAACTTTCGGATTTAGTAGGTATTTGTGCTGGTTTGTGGTAGTGCACCCTAATCAGTCATCGAGCTTCCACGGCCCTCGGGTTATCATACAGATAACCCTTACGGATTGTTTCTCAATTCAATTTCATATTCGGTTGACAGATTAGTCTGGTCTCCCGAGTTATTTATATTTCCGCAGTTATATTTCAGATGGCCCTTTTGATCTGACCCGCCAATCTAACACTTTCGCCCCAGCCCCTCAACCTCCGACGTCTTACTCTCTGGGTTGAGGTGTCTACTCGGTATTAACCGAACTTAAGGGAGTGGCCATAGGTCCCTTGAGCCTCCATAGGTCATTCGAATCCTGCTTCCTGACCACATTGTGTTTGGTTTGATCCAGAAAGCAGAAGTGATATTCATCCATTCACGGTAGACTGAAGATGTAGACACAGCTGGAGAGTCTGTGCTAAGAAATTTAGAATGCACCAAAAAAAAATATATATATCTACCGAAAGCCAGACAAACAACTATTCAATGGTTGAATTGTTAAAGTCTTTTATATAGCAGAAAAGAATAGTATAGAAAACAAACGGGTTGCAGAAAAGAAAAGTAATTGACGAAAAAAAATCATACACTGGATTCTAGACACAGAGAGAGTGTGTTATGATTAACTTGTTGTTAAATCGCCTCAGAACGATATACGACTCTTGCGATGGGGGAATAAGATTTCTGTGTTCGGCTTAAAGTTTATAGTGGCGTTCCACCTTAGCAGTAGTAACAGTAGTAGTCATATTCGTGGTAGCAGAAGCAGCGGTACTTATCTCAACAGTAACTGTTAGCGGACGCTTCGTTCCAATTTTTGACGTCACTTTCAATCTCAGATATCTCCCCACCCAGCTCGACTGCACTCGACGGCAGACGAGCCAACCAAACTGATTATTGTAGCTTGTGCAGCCTTTCCGCTTCCAGTAGTAGTAATAATAGTAGCAGTATTAGATGTTGGCGGAGTAATTCGCTTCTTCGTACTTAGATCAACAAAATATTTTAGCGGGCGTTTCGTTCCAATCCCTGACGCCACTTTCAATCTCCGACCTCTCTCCATCCAGCTCGAATGCACTCGACGGCAGACGAGCCAAAAGCAACCTCTCCGTCTCTCCTGTAGCACCGCGACCCGTAACGGTCGCTGCGGGTGCCCACGCACGTAACGGCACGCACAGCGACGACGACGTGCCGACCGATCGCGGCCTCTACCCTCTGCCTCTTCCGTCTGCCTTTTTCAGCATAGCTACGCGTTTATATAGATAAACCTGGCTGATCATAAATCGACCCTTGGCACGCACGCGATTATCACGTGTGCCGCTTTCAACCCAAAAGTTCCTCATGGCTTTAGTAAGCTCTATCTCAAATTTTAATCGATAAAAATTATTTCAACCATTTCCATTGTCTTTGTAATTGGCCCAATTCCAAATGGGCGAGATCAGATTTTCCCGTCAGTAAACAAAATTGTTCTGATCTAATTTCGCTACTCAGATTCACTCCAATTTCAATAAAAAAAATATTCGTGTGTGTGTGTGTGTGTGTGTTTCCCAGACTCTCTCTGTTACACTTGTTATGCTTTTAATTCCCACGGTTAGCAAATAACCTGGTATCTACCGTAGCGATTTCAGCTTACATTTTTACATTAACTCCTTTAATTCCACCAGTGTCCCATAGTGTCACAATACAATTGTTTTTTAATTAATCAATTTTTAAAATTAATTTTAAGATTTTATTCAGCCTTGCGACTGCTTACAAGATCCACGGTCCTGGAAGGTGATTAAATGGAATTAGCCTCTTTGACTTAAAGAGCGATGCAACTTCATAACAATATTTTACAAAGTACACCTCAGACCTTATTGAATAATTAGGACCCCAAAACTGAATTATTGTTACTATTTTATCATCCGTTATTTGTAATTAGGTGAAATATAATTGCTTGTTGAAGGCAGATCTAGCACAATAATAGGTGAGGTTATCTTATTAATTGTTATTTTTAAGTTTTCTTTTAGTCTGTTCTTTGCTATCATAATTATGAGCAATGTACGTGTGTTTATCGATTCTATTTAGTTAGGTACCTTCACAAGAACGTGATACCTAAGGTTCAAAATTATATTACTGTATTTCAAAATTAACTGCAATTGACTGAAAGTTTTCATTTTAAAATTGCTAAAATAGCTGATTTTTAGCTCCATTTTTAGTCATCCATCATTACGATGTAATTCTCTTTATTAAAAAATCTTTCAAAAATACAATATATTTTTTGGAACATTATTTGCGGAATATTAGCTGAGTTCAATGTTCAACGAATCTGATTTGAAACAAATATACTTACTTTTAGATGTTAATAACGCTAACCAATCAATGTAAAATGTCAAAAATAGCAACCAAATACCAATACAGCCATACGACCCTCCACAGGTTTTGAATTCAGAGTTGTCCTTCTCCTAGACCAGTTGTCATCCAAGGCTATAGAACCCAGTCTGTCCTGCTATTTTACCCATAGCCTGAGGGAGAAGAAGAGGATTCATACCTTTCCCAAGGGTATTAGCACGTAAGGGAATGTAATGGATTCGACTGAAATTCGAACTCGGCTCTGCGATTCCCCAATATATATATATATATATATATATATATATATATATATATATATATATATATATATATATAGAGAGAGAGAGAGAGAGAGATAGATAGATAGATAGATAGATAGATAGATAGATAGATATAGCGTAGTCACTGAAAAACGGAAAGAAGTTGAAAAAGTCATAACTTCGTTTTCAATCTTTTTTATTTTATTTTATTTTATTTTTTGCGGGTTACAGAGAATCCCATGGAGATTAAAATGTCTACGTATGATGTTTAACAAAGAACAAAACTCATTGAATTTTTCCATTTCAATAAAAGATGAATTGTTCAAACTCAGAGAAAATACCGGCAACATTTTAGTGCCAGAGTCTCTCCTAGCGATAACATGATTCTGAACATAATCACCCTGTTTGAAAGAACTGGATCAGTCGGCGATCTTCCGGGAAGGGTTCGAATTGTGGAATCGGAGAGCTGATTTCGTATTCAAGTCGAGTTCATTGCATTCACCTATGTGTTAATACGCTTAGGAAAGGCATGAATCCATCTCTTCCCCAAGCTATGTGTAAATAGAAGGATAGACTGGGCCATATAGCCTTGGTTGGAAGGAGAAGGAAAACTGAATTCAAACCCCTGTTGCCTTGTAGTTCAGACTCCTCCTGATACAATCTTCAAACACAGACACACAGATCGTGATGCTTATTCAGCCCGCATCTTCAGCCAGAAGAAACCATGTTTTTTATTCTCATGGCTGAAGAGACGAATGCGTGGTCGGTGATAAAGTGACTAGAGACAAGCTGCCTGGTCAGGATCGATTGTATTGTAGACCCTTCTCAGGTTTTTGTCAAAAATCTCGTGATGCACAGTAGAAATACCAGATCAGATAAAGCAACAGTATTAAATACACGGATGAATCGTAGATTTATAAATCTGGACTCAGACGAGATAAATTTTGGAGCATGATATAGTGAACCAACCTTTCTGGCAGAAGACGATGTAGTCGCCCTACTTCATGGAAAACGTGAGGCCATGAAGGTGTATTGCTCTCTTGGAAGTTAGCATCAGTTATGCTGATGTAAGATAGAAAAGGTTCTCTGTGGTAAAGAAATGAAAACGGGGAGGATTTGAATTTTAAAAGCCATTTCTTTCCCCAGATGACCACTGACTGGGAGTTCTTTTCAAGAGAAGTTGACAGTTTTACTTGTCAGATCTGAGAGATAGTGAATGAGTGTGTGTGTGTGTGTGTGTGTGTGTGTGTGTGTGTGTGTGTGTGTGTGTTACATCAATACACTTCATCTATTAACCGAGTTTTTCCAGCACGTTGACGATCATGGATCTCCACAATTTCCTGTTCTTTGTAGCTCTTAATAAATTTTATTTTTTATCTATCCTAAACTCTGTTCCGCCATCCAGTTTAACCAAACTCTCTATGTAGTTTATGCGTTGTTTTCCTTTGTCCTCTTTGCCTTCAGCCTGACCAGAGAGTATCAAATTTTCCAAGCTCTCTTTCCTCAGTATGTGCCCTAGACATGTCAAGTGTTTAATGTAGTGGTATAATGACGAAAAAATATTTATGCGTAACAACAATAATAACACTATCTGCTTACGAATTTATTGAACTGAAATGTTCTTGACCTGACCCCGCAAAAATGCTTTAAAAGCATTCAGTTGTTTGGTCAATTGGTCAGTTTTTGGGAAGTGGATCGAGCCGAAAATCTTTCAACACCCACTTAAACAAAATTCTCTCTCTCTTTAACTCTCTGTCACTTTCTATATATATATATATATATATATATATATATATATATATATATATGATTAAGCTCGTAATCTTTGATCGAGAAAGGGAAAAGATGAAATGTTCTGCGATATCTTTAGTATTGGAAATTAAATTTAGAGTCAAAAGAAAAAGAAAACTAAATAATAAGAAAAATCAAATCCTTTCTTATCAAACGTAGAGATGTACAAAAAAATTGTTCCTTTGACTTTCCACTCAAATTATTGAATGATAAATGTTAAAAATCTATCAATTAAAATTTCGCATTTGCTCGACAAATTGAATTAGTTGAAGTGTGCTTCAGCGAACGTGTGTGCCCGGATGCATTTTTATGAAATTTATTTTATATTTGCGATTTTTTGCATTTATTTTAAAGTGGAAAGATGGAGGAAGAAAGGCCTTCTCTCCTTAATCTTCTCTCCTTACTCTTCTCTCCTTACTCTTCTCTCCTTACTCTTCTCTCCTACTCTTCGCTCTTTAGTTATATTTATCAATCTATCTATTCAACTAAACATGTTTTGTCTTGCAAGCCCTTTGGTTGTTTCTATCAGCACATTTCCCACCAGCTTTCATTCTCTCACTCTCTCTCTCTCTCTTTCTCTCCCTCTTTTGTTCTTTTGTATGTCTTTCTCTCTGTAACTGTCTCTGTGTCCGTCACTCTGTCACTGTCTCTCTCTTTCTCTCTCTCTCAATATATATATATATATATATATATATATATATATATATATATATATATATATATATATCGATGTTGAAAAGTTCTCAGTCCGGGCAAGAAGTTATTTTAAATAGAATTATTATGTTTGTCTATTTGTCCAGGTCTTGTGTCATGTGCCGAACAGAGATTTTACGGCCATATCACGTTGAAATATACGTTGTCATCCGATCACTGAAGTTAAACAACGTTGAACCTGATCAGTACTCAGATGGGTGACCGCTGAGGAACACCACCTGCTGAAAGCAACGCAACGGGCCTAGCAAGCTGATTATACTAACAGAAGATCTCAATATTCGAAGACGTTTCTGGACTGGCAGGCCGCAAGAACTAACTGGAGTCTGGCAAGTAATATGCAAGTGGTCGAAGCGAGTAATTATATATATATATATATATATATATATATATATATATATATATATATGACATGAGGTATGATGGTTACCTGCAATATTTACATTATTCGGACTGTTATCCTCATCTTCATTGCCATATTCACAACGTTTCAGCCGTTGTACCCTCCGGCCTTCTTCACGTGAAATAACTGAGACATCTGGAAGGGACATGGCACGTGGAACTAGAACAATCTACCCCAGAGGACGAAATAAAGGGTTCGGTTCGAAATTCCCATCACCTGATGAAGTCTGGAGCCTACAACGACCGAAACGTTGTGAATAGAGGAATGAAGATGAGTATAACAGTCCGAAGAATGTAAATATATATATATATATATATATATATATATATATATATATATATATATACGATTAGAATATAGTTTTAAGGCATGCTATATTTATAAGTGCTCAATATCTGGGATATTGTAAATATAAAAGTGGACACCTTGCTAAACACCAAGTTATGAGTCTGTTTCATGCATAAGCAAACTCCAGACCATATATAATGATCTAAAAAAACAAGCTTGCTAACCATCTTGTCTCGCAAGATCAATTGCAACTGAGTAGTGACTTCGATCTTCACTGGGTGCTCTATATCTTCAGCCCTGTGCCACATCTAACATCTAAATATATATATATATATGTGTGTGTGTTTGTGTGTGTGTGTGTGGATTACTCCAGCAACAATGTCCCGTAGACTTAACTGCCACCTTTCTGATCTTAGTTCTATTAAATAACATTTTTTAGAAAAACCTAGCTATGTACATAATATTAGACAGATATTAGTTAACAACACAATAATAGTCCCACATACACACAGTAAAAAGAAGCTTCAGATATTGGAGGCCATCTACATTAAACAAAGCAAACTACACTCAACAAAATTACATTTCAAACTAGTCAGAACACATTACATTGCATCTAGACATATGATTCTGTTGTTAATATGTAGGTCTTTAATGTGGTATGATGTCATAGAACTGCATCATGAATTTACGACCTTCGTCTGCTATTCCGCGACCGTTATCTATTATGTCATCATAACAGAATATCATCTTTGATGGTGAATATCTTGGTTTAAATCTCAATATAACCACTTAGAGGCGACAGTCTGATTCATGCTAGATGAAATCGTCAGGCCTGACGATTGTATCTAGCATGAAACAGACTGTCGCCTCTAAGTGTTGACTTCTATGTTCACTTTTATATATATATATATATATATATATATATATATATATATATATATATATATAGGTAAAATGAGAATAAATGGGGTATAATTTCACAGTCAATAACATTTAATTTAAAAGCGGGCTCAATACAAAGTAAAGCTAAATACTGTTTATTTTTAGACATTAAAAAACAAAAACACGTTAAAAATCGCTACACAGTTAGAATTATGTTTGAACACTAAAACTAAAAATGTGCCTCTTCGGGCGATGGTAAAGTGTTACTTGCCAGTAGTTTACCATCGGCGAGGAGACACATTTGTAGTTTTGAAACATAATTGTGTAGCGATTTTAACCTGTTTTTGTTTTAATATCATAAAATAAATAATATATATGTGTGTGTGTTTAATAAAAATAGAAGAAATTTAAACGGTTATAGCACATTTCTCTCATCCTTTAATATCAATACACGGAAGTTTATTCGTGAATATGAACGGATTTTGTTAATAATTAGCCGACATAATGTCTGTAATTTATTCTATCAGACATGCCTAAAAGAAAATTTGCTGCCTAAATACACAGTCACATTCAAAGACATTTTTATGTTTATACATCCTTTTTATAGATACAAATATTTAAGTAAATGCTCTGTTTATAATATTACTTGAATATTTGTATCTATAAAAAAGAATGCATAAACATAAAATGTCTTAAAATAATTGTCAAACTTTGTCCATTTCATAATATATATATATATATATATATATATATATATATATATATAAAAATATGGTGTATTTGGCCAGCAATCCCTCTTTTATACAAGTTTCATTGAAAACGACTGACAAGCAAGTTGCTGCGGTTTTTTTTTTCTGTTGGCTATCAGCAGGGTGGGCCGAAATAGGTATACAGTTATTTAATTATTTATATAACTCCGTGACGTTATATATATATATATATATATATATATATATATATATATATTACAGGAATTGTGAATAATGCCAAATAATCGAGTCGAGAACAAAGAAAGGGAACTCTAAAGCAATATTTAAAGATCAAAAACAGCGAACAGAAACATAAAGCGTAGAGAGAAGCATATGACTGTGTCACCAACACGTCTGTGAATTTGTATAAAAGATAAATTTGAAGACAAAAACAGGTTCATTGCTTAATGCACTGGAATCTAAGCGTCCAAGGACGTCTATGGTTGAAGAAAATGAGATAACAGTGTTAAAAAAGTTTAATTGTTAAATTGTTAAATGTAATAAAATGTAAAAGGAGACTGTAAAGTGTATATTTACTTTGATATATATTTTAGGGATAAAATAAATATGGTTATTGGAGTACGGACTTCAAATTTGCTTGTATATATATATATATATATATATATATATATATATATATATATATGTGTGTGTGTGTGTGTGTGTGTGTGTATATATATATATATGTGTGTGTGTATGTGTGTGTATATATATATATATATATATATATATATATATGTATGTATATATATATGCTTCTCTCTCTCTCTCTCTCTTTCTATCAGTGTTCCTTTTCTTTTTCTTTATCATTCTATGAACTTTCTTCTTCTCTTTTGCCATCTACAACCTTTTTTACTTTCATTCTCGTTTCCACATTCCCCCCCAATTCTTCACCATCAACCCGCATCTACAATCGAAATTTCAAAATTGAATTAAGTAAACCATTTTTATTCCATAGATTTTTGCGCATGACGCGAAATCATTTTTCGCTCTTCATCATCAAATGAAGTTCCACCTTTGTTCACGTGGCTAATTGATGGCGTCTCGCATGTGTTTATCGCCAAGGTTCATCTAAGCTCGTTCCCTGTCGTCACCCACCCTCCGACATTTTCAAACCCGACTCCCACCCAACCAATGATTGCCACCAATATAAGACGATTTCATCATAAACGGTTCTGCATCTTTAACAAAATTAATGAATATTTTTTTTTTTTTTTTTTGACCGGTTTCATTTTTTTATTGATCAAGTTTATAATTTCAACACTTCACCCCAAATAACGCGGGGAGTAGGTTGAGGGAATTCGAGAAGAAAACAGGATATCAAATATTTAAAGAAGAATTATTATGATAATACTAATAGCTGTAATGATAATACTAATTCTTCTTTTAAGTGCAGGTTCCTTCAGAATTTCAGCGATCATGGCTCTCACCAACTTTCTATCCTTTGTAGCTCTAAGTTTGTCACTTTACTATCACTGCCAGTCCTTATTCTGTTGTCATTTTATGTTCGAGAAATTTAAACATTCTGATCCTAAATTCAAATTGTCCTTTTTATTTGCATTTTTGATTAAATTTCCTCATTCCAGTCATGATATTCTCACCATACAGAATTACATCCCAATGTAAGCATTACTACACTTGCAATATAGTGCAACTTATGGACATAGGTGAATAAAGAGATTGATATGCGTATAACATTCGATAATCGCAACATCAAAAATATAAATAGGCATTTTGTTTCTTCTTAATCAAATTGTCCTGACATTTCACTATTTTGGTTTTTCTGGTTACCTCTTCTTCTTCAGAATGAATTTCCTTCCCACTTTCTCTCTTTATTCTTCGGATTCAATTTCTTACATTCTTTATTTCTATCTTCTTCAGATAAAATTCCTTTCATTCTTTATGTCTTTATTATTCAGATACAATTTCTTTCATCTTTATCTCTTTCTTCTTCAGAATCTATTTCTTTCATTCTTTATTTCTTTCTTCTTCACAATCAATTTCTTTCATTCTTTATTTCTTTCTTCTTCAGAATCAATTTCATTCATTCTTTATCCCTTTCTTCTTCAGATACAATTTCCTTCATTCCTTATCTCTTTCTTCTTCCCAATCAATTTCTTTTTTTCATTATTTCTTTCTTCTTCAGATACAATTCCTTTCATTCTCTATCTCTTTCTTCTTCAGATAAAATGTCTTTCATTCTTTATCTCTTTCTTCTTCAGATACAATTTCTTATTTCAATTACTTTAACAAACTTTTACGTAAATCAAACTAACGAAAGCAAGAAGAAAGGCCTAACCATTAACTGCAAAAATACAGAATGTGCGTTTGTCCGCAAAATAGACAATTCAAACTTTTCATTAATTATTGGAGATAGAAAAGCAAAATCTAGCAGATACAGAAATTAAAATATTTAGATAGATTAGTAACAGACATCGGGAATTGTTATACAAGAACTGCTGTTAACAATGAAAATATAACTGAAGAATTTCTTGGTACATTATAATAAAAAAAAATTCTTGGAGTATTTAACAATCACAAGATTCATCAAAAGCAAGAGAAGCAAGGAGAGAATTATGATTAACCATTTTGAATAAATGAATGCCAGAACTAGGGTCACAAAACAAAAATATTTCGGTAAAAGAGCAAGAATTAGTTTGACACACAATTCCTGGGAGAATGTGTCATATATATATATATATATATATATATATATATATATATATATATATATATTAAAAACAGACAACTTTAAGGGTTCATGGTGATTCTAATTAGAATCAGTTGATGTAATCGTAAGTTCTATGCTAATAGTCTTTTTTATCGCACTTCTCGCTTGTGGAACTCTTTTCCAGCTTCTTTCTTTTAGTTAACTTTGGTCTTTAAAAATTTAAATGCAACGTTATCTTCTCTCTTCTTAATTTCTGCTCATTTATTATTCTCTCCCCTTAATAGTAGTTTTTCTCATATTCTCTAACACTCGGTAAACACTTGCGACTTTATTGCCTTGCTTGGGGTGAAATGATTAAAAAATGAAATTAGTTAAGCAAATATTTTTCCATGGAGCACCATTTCAAGTCATTACGGATTAGACGAATGACTAAACATAAACAAAAAACTTTAATTGATGTAATTAATTGGCATAAAAGCAAGAAATTAATTTTTGAAAGGAGAAAAATACAGTAGAAAATTGAAAGTAACGTAATTACGCCAAATAGGCAAATCCAGTGAGTACTGAACTCTTTACTAACTTCCTATCTACTACTCCACAGCTAAATAGAAACAATCATTGATACTAATTAAGGAGGTCAGTCGCTGTTTCCCTCTACTAATCTTATCTTCAATATGCCCCTGTGAGTGTCAAATTCTCCAAGCTATCTTTCCTCAGTATGTATCCCAGAAATTTCTCCTTCTGATCCTACGTAAGACCATCATTCAAGACACCGTTGTAGATGGAGATAGGAAGAGGACGTCAACGCAAAAACTGATCGGACAATGTCAAACAATGGACAGTTATGACTATACCAGAATTGTTGATGGCTGCCATTGATAAGAAAGTTGTGAAAGAGATTCAGTGTGTCCTCTAAACTATGATTGCAAAAGTCAAAGCAATTGTGATGATGATGATGATGATGATGATGATCCTACGTAAACTTTTGAAGAACTTTTCTCTATTGTTCGTCAAATTTAAAAACCTAATTTTTTTATCTACTGATTTTAATAACAATGTTTGACATTTATTTGTTGAGGTTTTGAAAGGTCTAAAGATGAGATAAAAATGTCGCTTTTTTTCGGTTTTGATGACATGTGACGAGTGACATTTGAATTTGTTTAACAGGAGATTCTTGGGGTAGTGTACAGAATAAAAAATAAAATCAACGACACAATTACTACACATGCTAGCGTATAGGAACGCATATATTTCTTCCTTTCTTGTAAATATGCTTACACTTTTTCTCGCATATACAGTCATGAACTCTAATGAGATGACATAAATATGTGCACTAGATAGATACATAGATAGATAGATAGATAATGAGCAGAATGAGATAGATAGATAGATAGATAGATAGATAGATAGAGTAAGAGGTGGAATTTTTTATCATTTTTTAAAATCATTTTACCGCAAGGAAGGCGATAAAGCCACTAAGACACATGGGGATTAATGAGAATGAAAGAGTGAAAAAAGCATTATTAAAGGGGAAGGAGGAAAATAAAATAACAAGATTCAAGGAGACAGAAGATGATTGACATTGTATTTAAATTTTTGATGATCAAAGTTGACTGAAAAGCAAAAAGTTCAAGAGAAGAAACTATTAGTATTCGCTTCCAGCTAGCAATTTTAACAGTAAAATGATGAGACCTATCTACCAATCTAGTACTACACCTAAATTTGTATAGTTTATGTACGAAAGGGAAAACTCATCAGAAGAATTCTCAGGAAAACTTTTATGGAAAAGACACAGAAAGTTGTAAAAGTTGAGATGTCAGATCAGGACCGATGACATTGCAAATTCTTTTTTGGATTTTGTAAGGATCTGTAGATATAGAGCAAAAGCATCTGGCCGTATATGGCAGCAATATTTGATGTATAGAAGAATGATTGACTTATGAAGGCTCCTTGATAATCGGTTCCTTGTGTCGTTCCAGAAGGTTCTTGACTCCTCCTGCTACGCTTTATCTTTATAAAAGCCAGATCAGACCGAAAATGATGTATTGCTGTCATATCTCGGTTGGAGCTGCCTAATCAACACTGTCCAGTCTTGATAGAATTCAAAAAGATTCTACGCGGCATTGTAGGTGATTCTTGAGGACGATCAACAACTGATAAAATGGACAGCACACGTAATTTGAAGAGAAAAGAATGACATAATGAATATCTTGACATTTCACATTATTTCAAATTAAAGTTTAGGAAGGAAGCCCCCATCAATACTCGCCAATTCTAAGGTAAAATGTTATTGTTCCCTCAAATTCTCATAATCTGCACTTCTCATCTCCTTCTCTTATGTGCATTGAGTAGACAATTAATGATACGCACACACACACATACATATATATATATATATATATATATATATATATATAAAAATATAGTTTAAAGGTATGCTATATTTATGAGATAAATTGCTCAATATCAGATATATGTAAAAGTGGACATCATAACACTTTATCCCATAAATATAGCAAGCCTTATATATATATATATATATATATATATTAAGAAATGGACAAGGTCCGACAATTTATTTATTAAAGACATATTTTTATGTTTAACGTTGTTATTTTATAGATACAAGTATTTAAGCAAATGCTCTGTTTATGATAAACAGTATTAAATAACATTTACCGGCCTGAATGTCCGAGAAATTTTCATAGAAAATTTTCGTTCTTTGACAGGATTCGAACCTGTATCCTATACGGAACCGTCATATACGCTGACGTGCCTTTACCGTTTGAGCTACAAAGAACCAATCGGTAGACAAGGTCGAATTTACTGCTTATACTGCAAGGCCGGTAAATGTTATTTAATACTGTTTATCATAAACAGAGCATTTGCTTAAATACTTGTATCTATAAAATAACAACGTTAAACATAAAAATATGTCTTTAATAAATATATATATATATATATAATATTAGTGGTCAATATATATATATATACATACATAAATTCCCAAGAGGATAGAATCCAGGTAGAACTCAATGTCCAGGACAGAGTAAAAAATATAATATAAAAGGCTGAAACACTAATATTCCATGGTTATAATGGTTCTTTCTTTTTGAATTTGTAGGTCTGATGAATTGGATCGTCATTACGATTCCATTGTAATTAATTATAACCCTGGAATATTAGTGTTTGAGCCTTTTATATTATATATATATATATATATTCAATAAATTAAGGAAAGTTCAATTGACTTATCTGATTAGCCGACTCAAGAGCTTCGTATATAAACGCTTATACGTCACTTGAACCTTTCTTTATTGAATATTGCAGCTTTAATTATCCATTGTACATATTTTGGGTAGAGTTTCTACTAAGCTGAAAAATTTTCACTTGTTTTCTCTTTTTTTCTCAGTTGCCTATATATATATATATATATATATATATATATATATATATAGAGAGAGAGAGAGAGAGAGGTAGAGAATACCTAGTCGACTAAGTTGTGGAGAGGTATGATCGCCCAGATTCTGAAAGAACCACTGCACATTGAAAAAGAATGGTTCCTTCTTGTTATTCATTTTTAAAACAAACACACATACTCAGACTACGAGACAAGCATACATATACGCTATTTACATTTTTTGAACTGTTGCCCGCATCTTATTATGTTCACGATATTTCAGCAGTTGTACACACCCATCCTTCTTCATATGATATACGTTGGAAATTCGGACTGAACCCTTTATTTGGTCCATGAGGGTGGACTGTTCTAGTTCCACGCTCCATGCCTTTTCTGGATAACTCAGTTAATTCAGTCATGGAACTAGAACGAGAACACTCTACCCCCGTGGCCTAAATAAAGCGTTCGGCTCGAAATTCCAACATATTCCCTGAAGAAGGCCGCAGTGTATAACGGACGAAATGTCGTGAATATGACAACATAAATGAAAACACTCCGAACAATGTAAATAGTGTAAACAGTTAGAATATCTCATCTCACAAATATAAACAAATGATACATATACGCATTTTCATTATGTTAATCATAACGTTTCTTGCATTCCTTTTCTTTATTATCTGTCAATTGCCATGCATTCTACGGGAATATAGTAGAATTATTTCCTGTTACCTTACGCACGGTTTGTAATTTAGATGTTTCCTTCTCTTAGTCTGTGAAAGTGAACTCAAAAGACGAAACTGGAATTTGAACTCTGCTCACCAACTCCAACTTTCCTTGCCGCCTCGCATATATGCTTTCATGTTCGTTTATATCGATTTTCTGTGTGAGAGTGGACATACGTTTCTTTCTTTTTATGTGCCATGTCCTTTCAGGACGTAGGCAATCATGGCTCTCCACCTCCCTCTATCCCTTGCAGGTCTCAACAATTTTCTTCCCCCTGCATCCTCCCCCAGACCACGTTCTGTCATCCACTTGTTTAAGCCCGCTAGGTATGTCACGCGTTGTTTTCCCATTCTCTCTTTCCTTTTATTCGACCCGTGAGTATCAGATTCTCCAGACCCTCCTTCCTCATTATGTGTCCCAGAAACTTCAGCTGCCTCTCCCTGATATTAAGTATAA